CCGTGTTAATTTGTGTTAATTTGTCCGTTTGTGCTGCAGATGGGCAATCAGCACACCTGGGGAAGAGAAAGGCAAAGGAGAATCTGGAAGGGAGGAGGGAGGCAGTATTAACCATGGATAGCACAGGCAGGGAAGGACACATTCTGCAGAGGTGAGGTTTCAGATGGGTCATGTGCAGGGCTGTGTCTATACGGGACAACATCCAAAATAAACAACAAAACAAGAGATTACAACCAGAGCCAGGTTTGCTCAGCCAGGCCCATGTGAGCCTTATCTTTCTCCTCCTCATGTAGGGACTGAAGAAGCACTGGCTTTTGACATCAGCCTCAAGGGTTCTGAGATCTATTTCCCATTAGGAAAGAAATTATTTGTAACTGCTGCACTGTGATAATTCACTTGTGGGGAATTTTGGAAGGAATTCGAGATGGGATCTTTGAAATGCTTTTGATAATATGATTTATTTTTCTTATCTTTTACATAGGCAGGAAGGGTGAGTTCAGATCACATCTTCACTGCATGGCTCAGAAGGTCACAAGACCTCTAGTTACAAGACCTTTTAAGGAATTATTGACCAATAAAACAGTGCTTACAAGGATATTTATGTTTTTGATCCAATCCTTAAATATTTCGCCTTATGGACTCATGCGACAGTGTAAGCTTTCTTTGCCAATTATGTTATGACACACAAACGTACAGCACTGCAGTCTAAACTTCTTGTTTATCTTTGTAACTACTTTTATTTTTTCTATATCTTAAACTATAAAACTCTAAAATTCCCTTTCCTTAGTTTAACATGTCTCTGCTTTAAACCATAAATCCACATTCTGCCTTCCAGCACCTGAGTTTGGAAACCTTTTCCAAGGTGTGAGATCAAACCCTGTGTTTAATTCTAAGCTTTGGCTCACGGGCCCAAAGTTCTGAGAGTTCCCTGCATTTCAGATTCCACACCCCTGGGTGCTGAGAGCTGTCCTGAGCCCCTTGGCTGCTCTGCTGCCCTTCCTGCTGGAACCTCATGGCCTGAGGGGGGACAGCAGCCTTCCCTCACCCACAAATGCTCCAGGCCATCACCTCCTTCTCTTCCACTCCACTTACAGACACCAGGTGAGAAAGGCACGCGATGGAACTTGGATTTCAGAGGTAAGACAACACTTCTATAACCCACAAACACCTAACTTCTGCAGAAAAAACAACCTTCCTCATTCCTCCTAAAAAGCTCAGTTGCTACAGACTGATAGATGCTTATCTCATTATCTTTGTGTTCCCAGGTGAGTAAGACAGGACACTACACGCGTCTTGGTTAAACTTTCTTCTGCCATTTCTTTTTCTCCCAAATGTACACATCTTGTTTCTACATGTATTGCATCACTGATGATTTAAAGAGCATCTTCAGGCTTGCCCAAATGAGTCTGTACACATTCCATCTTTATTCACCCTAATGTATGGTTTCTTCACAGGAAATTTAGTCATCATCCCAAGTGATTTTCAACTCTAAGGCATAAAGCAGTAATTACACCCTCTCACTTCTTGATACACCTACTCACTGACTGGAAAAGATGCAGTACAGAAGCCTTACTTCCTCTGAGAATGTCACTCCAGGAGGCACAGGTGAATTGCAATTATGGAATGTTCTCTGAGTGCATTTGTGTGCATTACTGGGAACAATATTGCCAGATGCCTCATGCACTAACTATGTAAAATTACAACTTGAGAGTCAGAAAGGAACAAGTACACAGAGCAAAATGGCTTCTTTAGCTTCAAGCAGTAGTGCGGAGCACCATCACCTCCAGCCACAGCACCCTGAAAATGCCAAGGTTCACTCTCCAGGAGCAGGAAGGAGCAGAGGGGCAAGAGGAGGAAATAAAGCCTGTGAAGCTGGTTCTGCACTGAGACAAGGAGGATGTAAACTGAACACATTGGTTAGAAAGAGACCTGAAGTGCTGGGGAAACAGACTCTGCCTGCTGTGCTGGGCAGGAGGAAGAGCTCCATTTCCCTGAGGAGCAGTGCCTGAGCTGCTGCCCAGGGGCATGGTCACTCGCCATGGTCACTCCCTGTGGTCACTAGCCATGGTCACTCCCTGTGGTCACTCGCCATGGTCACTCACTGTGGTCACTCCCTGCAGTCACTCACTGCGGTCACTCACTGCGGTCACTCACTGGGGTCACTCGCCGTGGTCACTCCCTGTGCTCACTAGCCATGATCACTCTCTGTGGTCACTCCCTGTGGTCACTCGCCATGGTCACTCGCTGTGGTCACTCACTGTGGTCCCTTGCTGTGGTCCCTTGCTATGGTCACTCAGCATGGTCACTCACTGTGGTCACTCGCTGTGGTCCCTCGCTGTGGTCACTCACTGTGGTCCCTCGCTGTGGTCACTCCCTGTGGTCACTCGCCATGGCCACTCGCTGTGGTCCCTCGCTGTGGTCCCTCGCTGTGGTCAATCCCTGTGGTCACTCGCTGCGGTCACTCGCTGCGGTCACTCGCTGCGGTCACTCGCTGCGGTCACTCGCTGTGGTCACTAGCTGTGGTCACTAACTGTGGTCCCTTGCTGTGGTCACTCGCTGTGGTCCCTCCCTGCGGTCACTCCCTGCGGTCACTCCCTGCGGTCACTCCCTGCGGTCCCTCCCTGTGGTCACTCCCTGCGGTCACTCCCTGCGGTCCCTCCCTGTGGTCACTCCCTGCGGTCACTCCCTGCGGTCACTCGCCGCGGTCCCTCCCTGTGGTCACTCGCTGTGGTCACTCCCCGCGGTCCCTTGCTGCGGTCCCTCCCTGTGGTCACTCTCTGCGGTCACTCCCTGCGGTCCCTCCCTGTGGTCCCTCCCTGCGGTCACTCCCCGCGGTCACTCCCCGCGGTCACTCCCCGCGGTCACTCTCCGTGGTCCCTACCTGTGGTCACTCCCTGTGGTCACTTCCTGCGGTCCCTCCCTGTGGTCACTCCCTGCGGTCCCTCCCCGTGGTCACTCCCTGCGGTCCCTCGCCGCGGTCCCTCCCCGCGGTCCCTCCCTGTGGTCCCTCCCTGTGGTCACTCCCCGCGGTCCCTCCCTGTGGTCACTCGCTGTGGTCACTCCCCGCGGTCCCTTGCTGCGGTCCCTCCCTGTGGTCACTCCCCGCGGTCCCTTGCTGCGGTCCCTCCCTGTGGTCCCTCCCTGTGGTCCCTCCCTGCGGTCACTCCCCGTGGTCACTCGCTGTGGTCCCTCCCTGCGGTCACTCCCTGCGGTCCCTCCCTGCGGTCCCTCCCCGCGGTCCCTCCCTGCGGTCACTCCCTGTGGTCACTCACTGCGGTCACTCCCCGCGGTCCCTCCCTGTGGTCCCTCCCTGTGGTCACTCCCCGCGGTCCCTCCCTGTGGTCACTCCCTGCGGTCACTCCCTGCGGTCCCTCCCTGTGGTCCCTCCCTGCGGTCACTCCCTGCAGTCACTCACTGCAGTCACTCGCTGTGGTCCCTCCCTGCGGTCACTCCCCGTGGTCACTCGCTGTGGTCACTCCCCGCGGTCACTCCCCGCGGTCCCTCCCTGCGGTCACTCCCTGTGGTCACTCCCTGCGATCCCTCGCCATGGTCACTCCCTGTGGTCACTCCCTGCGGTCCCTCCCCGTGGTCACTCGCTGTGGTCACTCCCCGCGGTCACTCCCCGCGGTCACTCCCTGCGGTCACTCCCTGCGGTCACTCCCCGCGGTCCCTCGGGCCAGCCCCGGGAGGAGCTGAGCCGTCCTGCCCAGGGCCATGCTCCGTGCTCTGGCTCCCTCCGCTGACAGCTGCACACACCGAGCCGGCTTGTCTCCAGGGCAGGCAGGGAAATAAACTGATTTATTTACACTCAGCCCTGCAAAGCAGCCCCAATTTCCACCCGAATGCTTTTCAGGACACAATGCCCCGAGTAACCCCCATGCTGTTTAGGATGGTTACATCAAAAGTTTTTGGAAGTGGGAAAGATACATGAAAGCTATTATTATAATAATTTTAAAAAACAAACAAACAAGGGGTCACTGAAATTAACTTATTAGAAAAAGGCTAATAAGAAAATTAAGCAGTGATGCTGCAGAAGTACAGCGCTTTAACATACTACATTTGGTCAAGGAAAAAAGATTGCTTCTGAAGAAACTGGTAAATTACCAGCAACAGCAAGATGCTAAAGCACTGGCATATCTCACTATTTAAACCTGTCGAAAAGTAATGAACATTAAAACTGCTTAATTTATTTTCAACAGTGTAAGAGGGGAAAAATACTGTGGATAACAAAGTTAAAAGATCTCATGTAAGCTAAACTGAAGGGAACAGAGTGACAACTTCACTGAACTCTACACTGACAGTGCCCAGGAAACGTATCCAAATGAATGGACCCAAAACCTCAAATTGTGGGCAAATCCAGCCCAAGGACTCAACACTGCTGTTTACTACACATTCAACCACAACACCCAAATCGAGTCTGCCAAGAGAAATCAGAAAGGATGGAGTCCATCTCAGAATTGAGACACGTGAAAACCAGCAGAATACTGCTACAAAAAACAGCATTTCTAAAGCACTGCTAAATGTGGCCAAATAATCATCACCTCTCAGGATTAATGAAAAGGAACCCTCTCCTGTGCAATACATTGCATACAGGGATAACAAAAGCATCCATAGCTACTTTAGATGAAATTAAACATGTTAGGGATGTAAATACTTGTGAAGCAAGGAAACTATCCAACATTAACGGGCAAGTTAAGGAACAAAACAACCTCCAATCCGAGGTCATCCTCATCCATTGTTTGAAAAAGGATACAGAATTAGAATGGTGCCCACTCTGATTTCTGCAGAGGAATTTCTAACTTGGTCCAAACACACTATTTATCTGAGCCCAAAGGAGTTCAACTCCTTCAAACCTAAATTTAACACCCATCACTGCTGTTGTGCCATTTGCTGTGCAGACTGCTGTGGATCTCAGGTCCTCAGGATAAACAAATTCCCTGGGCACACTCAGCATCACAACTAGAAAACAGAGGTTTAGCCCAGGGTAAGGAACCACTCACCTCAGTTTCAGGAGGGGCTGGGTCACCCATTTCTTCAATCTTCGACGTCCAAACGAAGTTTTAGTGTGGTCCAAGACCCAGAGCAGGCTTCCTTTTGTTTTCATGTCAGTCTGAAATAACGAAAATAACCTAATTATTTTTATCTGAGCAGTCAGTTTTCCAGTGGGAGGATCTTCATATTATTCAAAACATTGCATTTGGGCTTTAAGATATGGCAACTGTACATTCATTATCTATTTCCTTCATCAACAATGCCTTACATGAAGAACCTCCAGGAGTTATAAAATACTTAATTATGCTTTTCCTTTAGCTAGAAAATGGTTCTTGGGAAATGACCAGGATCAATTAAACAGTTAAAATAAGTCTGTGCTCTGAGCAGGAGCACAAAAACAAGCCCTACTGCAGACATCACTCAACTGCAGTTGCTGAAGAAATTAAACTTCAGGTAAGTTCCTTGTTAGTCAAAGTGCAGCACAGTTCCTAACTCATACTAAAAGCTAATACACATTAAATTCATTTATGCTTCTGAAAATGTTATCTCCCTTCAGTCTGATCCCATTTAAAATAATTTAAGACTTATGGGTCAGATTTGCAAACCTGATGAACTTCATTGGGAAAAGTACGTCAAACAGCCGTGAAAATCTCCGCATTTATTTTAAAAAGTTACATTTGTCCTTACCTGATTCTGTAAAATTTCAAGATTTTTCATTGTTGTCCCATTAAGTGTCATGTATTCAGCTTCACTGGACAACTGTTTGAAATTGCTGGGGAGAGGAATTTCAGATGTTGTATCTCAAATTTGGGCATGGGTAGAACACTGAAACACTCTCAGGTTTCTCACATTAGAGAATTCAACAGCTTTGCAAATAAATCTTTAAAAGTCAAGTAATAAATTAAAATCTCTTCAAATATATAAAAGCACTGAACACTAGTAACTTCTTTTAACTTTCAGCTTGGGAAAATAGAATTACAGACCTCTTCTCCATTTCCTACAATGACTCTGATAAAGCTCAGAACAAAACCCAGCCCTCCTGTTATCTAACCCTTTTCCACTAAGTGGTTAATTTATTCAGTTTACAATTTAGCAATGACAGGACGAACAATTAATAATTCAAGAATGGAACAAATTTTTAACACAACTCATCACCAAAATATTGTATCAAAATACACATTTCTTTTTACTACTGCTGCAAATTTAAACAGCCTGCAAGTGTAATTATGTAGGAAAACAGAAACAGAGGAGATTGAAACCATTTTATTTCGTTTCAATATAAAATAACCATGACCAAAATCACTGGACTTCTTGAGACTCATTAGCAGAACTGGATGAGACCAACCCAAAGGTTGTGTTACTTGAGAATCACCTTTAATAAAATAATGGTATGAGCTGTGCAATCATATTAGGCCTGACCATCATTTCAGTCTCAGACACACACAGAGTAGTCAGGACTGTGAAGTGCCATGTCCTCACTAAATGCTTCTGACAAATCAAGTCATGATTGTCTGCATTAATCATCCTGCTGACTGCCCTTTGCACAGAATCTAGGACACTCTTTGCTGTCCTAGACTAAGCAGAACCACTTGCTGGGCAAGATTTAAAGCAGTTTTACTTGACTTTTTTGACTCACAAGAAGTTTTCCAGTGCTTTCAATTTTAATGCCTCTGGAAAAGTACTTGAATGCTCTACCTTTTCCTGTTAGACACACACAGCTGCATTGCTGCTACACTAAAACAAGAACACAAAGCACCAAAACTTTCAGAAATATGAAATATTCAAAGACTAATCTTATATATTTATGTCATATGCAGGTGCTTGGGCCTGCTACCAATTTTTTTCCAAAATAATGGGTCAAATTAGAAGTATTTTCCACAGAATTGTAAAAAAAGCAGATTCAACTGAGGGCCCTCAAGAAGTTTAATGACAGCTTGGAAGTACAGCTGACTCAGAACTGTACCCATAGTCATAATTATTCTGCTTTGTGTGCTATTTCAGAAACCAAGGAAATTGACCAGCAAAAGAAAACACTGGAGGCAAAACCAGCAACACTTTCCAAATTACACAACATTGTAAGCAACAAAACAATACTTATTTTTATTATCCTCAGTCACAACTGCTGATGCTGGCAAAAATTAATTAGGAATGATTTCTGCTTGGCTCCCATTCCCTGCATGAAACAACAAATCCCATCTGCTCCAAAAGCACCTTTCTGCATCCAGGACCAACTGCAGTTTCCCAGTTTGCCATGCTCCAGCCTCTGGTCTCAAACCCAGCTGGGTGAGAGCCAAGAGGATGCTCCTGGGAATCCCTGTCACATCAGAGCTTCGGGATGGTGGATTTCTCTGCCTCTGGTGCTGCCTGGCTTTTGAGCACACAGCACAGGACACACTCTGCTCACAGCAGGGCTGCTCAGGAGCGCCTGCAGACAACTCACTCTGCTCCACTGCACAGTGCATCTACCCTTCTTTCACAGTGTATTTACAGTTCTTTCAGATCAGACAAGCTGGAGTTGTTTTCACAGCATAAATTATGTGTGTCTTACATTACCCAGGTGTTTTCTTTATCGGAGTTACTTCACCTGCTATTAATCGTGGTAATTGAGAGTTTAGAGTACATGAGTAACAGCCAAGATCAACTGCAGGATATGCCCAACCAACAATTCCACATGTCACAGCACAGAACATGTTTTGCTTCCACCCACTCATCTTCCTTCAGTTTGGGATCAGAACTTGATAAAAATGTGAAAAAAAAACACAACACATTCTTTATAAGGCATTTAGAGACCAAATGGCAGGAGGAGGTTGTAGGTAACTATTAAATGAGGGCTGGTTTTGCAGCAAAGGTCTCAGCACAAGCCTTGTGCTGCTGACAGCCCTCCCTGCACTGCTGACAGCAATCCAGAAATCTCTGGGGCAGGACCACGAGGCCAAAACTCCTCCTGTAGGTGAAACTGTGACCCCAGCTTCCAAGCACAGCCCTGCAACAGCCTGAGCACTCCAGCAGCACACAGCCCAAGCTGTGGAAAGAGCTGGCAAGGCCACAACAGCAGCGTGGCAAGGCAGGGGTAAGAGGAAGGGAAAGAGTAAACAAGCAGAAGTTTCCAGGGAGCTTCAGGAATCTTACAGGGAACACTCATGAAAATGAGGCTCCTGTCCATAAAATTACTTTTTCGGAGCAGGACCACACGATGATGAGTATGGAAAGGTTACTGTTCTGCTTCAGGACAGCAAAGCACATCCCCAGACTTCAGTAATTATGTGTAACTGGAGAAACTGGATCATCTGTGTCATTTTCTCAGTACTTAAGGGGTTTATAAAAAAAAGTGAGAACAACTTTCTACACAGACAGTTAGGACAAGGCGGAACAGCTTTAAACTAAGGTAGGATAGATTTCGTTTCACGCAGGAACTGTGCCCTGTGGCTGCCCCTGGGTCCCTGGCAGTGTCCAAGGCCAGGCTGGACACTGGGGGATGGCAGAAGGTGTCCCTGCCGTGGCAGGGGTGACACTGGAGAAACCTGAAAGTCACTTCTGACCCCAACCAGCCTGGCATTCTGTGACTTTACCTCTCGAAAAGCTTGCAGTGAATGGTGGTTTTAATGTGCTGTGTTCATTATTTCCTCCATAGGAGATAATACATTTAATTTCATACTCAGTATCTCAGCCTAAGTGATTTCATGCTATTTAGATCAGGAACTTTCAACTACTTTAATTTTCCAAATCTCTAATGTTTCTGAGAAAAGCTGCAAGGCACCCTGAAAGCAACAGGTTTTCTTTGCTCAATTACCTTTTACAGAGCTCCAGGGTCTATGTCTTTGACATCTCTAGCAGTGAATAAACCACTAAATGAACTTAGACAAGAAGAAATGCAGGAACCCCTAAAAGCTTTAAGAAGTAAAAACAAGTCTCTTCATTTTCCAGAAGCACTAATTTTCTTTAGGTTTCATACCAAAGATATTTACCACAATCTGTGTAGCAAAGGATGTCAAGTCCAAGACTGTTTTGTATTTAATTAACCAGGTTTAAATTCATTAGTGAGCATTTCCATGGGGCTAGAACTTTTGATATGAATCCCTTTTTGTTTTGTGTATGATTTCCTGCATTTCTTGAAGTTCATCCATCACTGTTCAAAACTTACAAACTTCTATCTACAAAGTCTCTCTCCTCCATATCCAACATGCTGGAAAACACAGAAGTAAAATTAGAATACAACACAACACATTTCCTCAGCAACTCCTATGCCAGTGATCATTTTTTCAAACAAAACCAGATACTCAAATGTACTTAAAAACCTCTCATAGGTGTGTACTAACTTCTTGACAAAAGCCTTTAATAAAGGTCTCTCCATATGCAAAGGTATTAGAACACACGGATTAACAAAAACTTGTACCATTCATTATTAATCTATTTTTACTTGCTGCTGGAACTCTAAATCAGCCTAGCCATAGCTTGGGCTCCTGCTGCAGCAGAAATCTTTATTTCTTTGTAATGTTTTTCTTTTTTTTGAGGATCTTACAAGTATATTTAAAAGCTTCATCAAAATATTAGAGCAAAATCTGCTTCCCCCCACTACTGAGGATTCCTTGACTCACATGGTAACTCATGACTCTTCCTACTAAACTGAAATGGAATTTTTTTCAGCTGGGAGAAGACTGTCCAAAGAAGGTACAAAGGTGTAATGGATTTTTCTTCCTATCAAACAGGTCTTCATCCAGACCTGTGACACATTAACCAACTGAAAACCACCTCACAACTCCCACTTCATGCTCATCTGTATGTGCTCACTGACCTGAATTCTTCTAGGAATTTCAAGCTGCCTGACAATGCAATGGAAGTTATTTCTCTTCTATTTCCTAATTCAGGATATTAATGAGCCTGACATAATTTGCTTAAGTCTTTCACTGTTCAGTATTTAGACAGCATTTCACTGGCATTAGGAAAAAAATATTGAAGTTGTTTTTTTCTGAATATTTGGCTCAGTCTGTTGATCCCCATGAAACACCACAAGCAGAAAGTGGAACTCAGCATTGGGTAGTTGAAGCACAAAGGCTTTAGAAAGAAATACAGCAGAATCCAAGCTCCTGACCACAAAGTTATCTTAAGAAATGTTATTTTATTCACAGAACTTCACCCAGCTATTAAGTATTTCCTTGCCTTTTCCCTCAGATGCTCATTTCATCCCCAGACATCCATTAGAGCAACCATCAGCAGGCAAATGCCAATGCTAAGATTTAGTGCTTTTCCTTCCCAGTATATAATGTACTTGATTTTAGGAAGCAGCTGTTACAAATGTAACTGAATTCTGCTCCATAACCCTTCACATAATTATACTTGTCCTCTGCTACAGAATTACTTCCACATAAAAGATGGATTTCACATTTTCTCCATCTGAAAGAACATTCACCTCCTGTGTGATTGCACACAGGGCACTGTGACAGCAGTGACCCGCCAGCTGACCAAGAAATGGCATTTCCTTGGAATTCATTTTCTTCCTCAGAAGTTCTACAAGATTTCTCCACCTATGCCAGCATATTAAAAAAACAATTATTTTAAAAAAAATAAGGCAGTCAAAGAAGATAAGCAGGCACACCACAGTGCAGGAGCACCACAGATCAGCAGGGAAGATGCCACAGGAACTCTTTCCCCATCAGCTCCTTGAGCACATCAAACCTTTTGTTAACATTCAAATACAACTTGGAGAGAAGGGCATCTTAAGAAATCCATCCCAAAATTCAGAACACCTGTATAATTTCCAAATATTTTGGTGGACACCTGGGAAAGTGTTTAAATCGTTTTAAATGCAGCTGGTAATCTAAACTGGTAATCTAAACTGGTAATGCAGGGAGCCCTTCAAAATTGGGCTTCAAACTCTCAGAATCCCACACAACATGTGATTGATCTACAAAAGATATGAAATATTTCTAAGTTTCCAGTTTGCAGCCAGACTGACTTTATTAAATCCTGCATACTTATGGGACAGAGGAATACTGAGACAACTGGGAGAATATTTTGCAGCAGATCCATGACAGATAAAGCTGTTTTATTCAATAAGCCTCAGTGATATTTCCAAAGCTAAGCCAGGTGGGACAGCAATGTTTTATACTCATGGAAGACAGGCTAAGAGAAGCTTTAGCAGTGACATCTTTCCATTTTCATTTGATTCCACCTGCATAGGCCTGTCACAAATCTTGAGTACTCATCTCAGCATGTCAAATACACCCAAGCACTGGAACTGCTTAGGAGGTGACAAGGTTACATCCATGTCTGTGTGTTTTGCAGTAACTTTGCACAAGTAGTGGTGCTCTAGCAACAGCTTTTGCCATGATCCTTCTCCCCACTCCTACTTACCCCTGAGTCCAGCCAAGGGATTTTCCAGAAAGCCAGGATGTGTTCAACAGTTTTCTTTAAAACTGGTAACTAGATTCAGCAGTTGAAACAGACCTGCTGAGTAATGCCTGATCATTACAACACAGAGTTTGTACCTGCCTCCAGAGCTACAGAAAGAAAATATTATTTACACACTGCTGGCAAACTGCAACGACATCTGCAAAGCTAAGTTGCAACAGCAATTTTTTGGTTTTTTAGGCTGCCCAGAAAAGCCCTATATGTTGGTTAAACACTTAAACTGAGGTTGGGATGCAACAGATGATATAAACAAACTTTAAATTTTTTCCCTAGTATCTACCAGTTTTTGCACCTTGTTTGTTTTCAGTAACACCTGGCAGCAGTACATGCTCATTCACAGCACTGACACTAATGTCTACACAAACATACTTCAAAAAGGTTTCCCTGAAACACCCCTCCCTCAAAGAAACCACTCGATTCTTTCACTTCTGATTAGGAAGTCAAATGTAAGGTGTAATTTTTACAAAGACTATGTTTATCACCAGCAAGTTTTTCATTACAATCAGGGACACTGTCTGCTAAATTTTGCAAGAAGTGGTGCTTTGAATTGGAAATTCATATAAGGCAACTTACCTTGGATTGTAAAGCATCTTTTCCAAATTAAATTCTTTGAGATACGTAATTACTGCTGCCAGAGAGCAAATAACAGGCTTATCCAAGCTTAGTATTACAGATAGGTTTTGAGGACCTAAAAAAAAAAAAATTTCTTGTCAAATGTTTATTTTGTGGTTAACTCACTGTGTACTACTAAGATATTGTAGAAAAAGCATAATCTGCTTTTCAAGTTATTCTAACAGAAATCTGTAATGTAGATACAGTGTTTTATGATGTCTATAAACCAACATAAAGCAAGGCTCCAAATTAACAAGGTTCCAAATAATGCAGAATTGCAACAGTGTAAACACATTAAGAAACAGAAAACATTTGACTCTGTGGGTTTTTCTTCATAAAAAATTACTAACTGTTGACATAACAAAACTTCTGAATATACAAACTAAGAATGGAATTCTGACATCTTCATTTTTGTGCACAGTGCTCTACTACAGTGCCTGTTCCAGCTGCAACAGCAGGAAAACTCACTCCACAACACCACAGCATAAAGTGGTATTTTTAAAATTGCACACGGTTCAATTTTTTTCAGGGATTCAGCTTTTTAAAGCTGTTCTCAGGTAACACCTGCAAGAACTTTAGAACTTAGTTAACAAGAAGGTTACTCCTGTCTTCAAAGAGGGCAAGAAGGAGGGCCCAGGATATTCCCAGGAGACAGCTCCATCCCTGGGAAGGTGCTGGGACAGGTGGCTCTGCAGGTCACCACCCGGGTGGCTCTGCAGGTCACAACCAAGCCTGTGGAAGGAGAGGTCACCAGGAGTGGCCAGCAGGGACTGGGGACATCGTGTTCACCAAGGGGACACTGTGTTTGAGAGAGCTGGGCAGAGAGAAACCTAAGGAGGTTCAACAAGGGCAGCTACAGGTCCTGTGGCTGGGGAGGAATAACCCCAAGTACCAGAAGAGATTAGGAATGACCTACAAGAGTCCAACTCTGTGGAGAAGGACCTCAGGGTGCTGGTGGATGGCAACTTGACCATGAGCTGACAGAGTGTCCTGGGGACCAGAAGGGCCAGTGGGATCCTGGAATGCATCAGGAAGAGCATGGACAAGATAGGGAGGGGATCCTGCCTCTCTGCCATGCCCAGGTGAGGCCAGATCTGGAGTGCTGTGTTCAGTCATGGGCTCCAGATTCAAGAAAGACAGGGAGTTGCTGTAGAGGGTCCAGTGGAGGCCATAAAGATGATTAAGAGTCTGGAGCATCTCTTATGAGGAGAGACTGGGAGCTGAGCCTGTTTAGTCTAAAGAGGAGAAAACTGACAGTGTTCAAGTTTAGGACATCTTTTTAGCTGCATTGGCTGTCTTGAGACCCTGGCAATGGGCCCAGAGACCTTAGCACAAAGTCAAAAACATTTGTGCTTTTGCTTTTAGTTTGTGGAAAACTGCTAACCTTGTATGAAGAATTGTAAGCTATAAATAAGAGTTTAAGTAGTGTGATATTTGAATTAACACAAAGGGAAAAGTAGAATTTTGAGATCTTTAGAATTTTTAGAAAATTTTGAGATTTAAGGGGTCAAAATAGAAGAATTTAGGTGTGTCTTAGCTTTCTTTTCCTTCTCCTTGTCTTCTATGTCTTAGTATCATAGTAACACTTTTCTATTAAAGACACACTGTCTAACATAGATGATAGATATTAGCAAATTAATATAAACAAACTATACGTAACTTTTGATATAAAAGGTAAACACCGCCCAAGAGGGAAAATAAAAATACCACAGTCTCCTTGCTAGCCAGAGCTCAACAAGTCAAAAAAAGAATGTTGTTATAAATAAGGAAAAATAACCAAACTTAAAAACACATTCTAAAACATTCCAAACTTTTTATTTAGCTACACAAACTAAAAAACAAAGAATTTTTACAATCTTAAAGCTGTTCCAGAGCCCTGGAACAGCTGCCCAGGGAGGGCTGGAGTGTCCCTGTCTGGAGCCATCCCAGCCCCAGCTGGACATGTCCCTGTGCCCCTGCCTAGGGGAGCCTGCCTGGGCAGGGGATGGACCAGATCATCTCCAGACAGCCCTTCCAGTCCCAAATACCCTGGGATTCAGTGAACTCTTGAGAAATATTTCAGATGATGAGTAATCCCCCTCAGCTGTTATGTACATTTAAATTTAAATCTGTCTAAACACACACCTTCAAGCTATGAAAAGAAGTAATGGTAGCCCTATTTAATTTCTATTTAAATAATGTTCCTTTTCCTCCAAGCTCAACATGAGATCCCACTGTGCAGAAAATGAAGCAAAGGTGGCCAAAAGCCTACATGAATGTAAAGGCTAATAGGGTGCATGCTTCAAAGATATTTGGAATGAAAGACCTGTAATGTCAGGCACTTCCTTTGCATAAAAATCTGAACAAACATACCTGCAGTACCAGGCACCTCTTTTGCATAGAAGTCAGTAACCCTCTGGAAAGCATGGCTGTACTCAAAATTGAGGTTTTCCATCCTTTCTATCCTAATTCTGTCATCCTGTAACCTGCAAAGAAAAAAAATATTTGACTCTCAGGTTTTTACACTCCCTTCATGAAAGCGGTTACAAAGGTGCACTTTCTTTTGTCTTTGCTTTGTTAGGAGTTGAATGGGTAAAGAATTAAGAAATGAGGTATTAAAGTAGGGTGAAAACATTTTCAAGCATGCTGTATTTTTTAAAATGTTTTTTCTAACCAAATAAAGCAAAGCCAAACAGCAGCAAGCACAGCCAAAAGAGGTGGTCTAACATACCTAACATATGCAATGTAGATACTAACACATCTTCACCAACCATACCAAGTACTTGCCTTATCACTTCTTAAAGACTCCTGGCGAACAAACTTAAGCTGTTATCCCACTCCATATTTAATTATCCTTTGGAGGATTTTGTTCCTTGTAGAACTAAAGGGCTGGATTTCTTTTAGTCTTACTGCAGCCTATGAAGCCAAGGATGTTATTACTGATAACCCTCTCCTGCCAGCAGTTGTTACATCAGGTATATCAGCAGTTCCTCCCAGTTCAACAGCACCACCAAACTTTACTAAATGCAAACATTTCCACGCTGCCTGTTTTTCCCTACCTGGTGGCTGAAGTTAAGATTAGATGCTGCCTTATCATTGCAATTTGTACAGCTGTTGATAAGCACTGAACAGACATGCTGGTTAAAAAACCCCAAAGGAGAACCTTGAGCAGATTTACACAGCTACACAGTGAGCACTGAGCCACGGGCCAGGAGAAACCTCCAGTGAAAAGACACACAAAAAACCTACTTGGCCTCTGGGTTTCCACTGACTCTCACACCCCTGTGGGATGCAAATAAGCCAAGTGCCTTGAGAAGACTGGAATTGTGCCAATGAGAGGCACTGTGCAGGTATTACAGCATGGAAGTTAATCAGTACCCTTACAGCAGGGCTTTCCAACTTCACAGGAATAAACAGACAGATTTTCTGCCTTACATTACGCACACCCCCACCTGAAAGGATCAATACATCTCTGAGGCCCAGCTCTCAAAAATAAGATTTAATTTCTACAACATGTGTCCAACTAACCAGACTTGTCTCAGCACATACTCTGTGATACTTTTCTGCCTTCAACTGACTGACCAAATTACATTTTCAGTTTTTATATTCTCTGGGACTCCCCTCTTCCCAGCCCTTCTCAAGATGAGCAAATATCTTTCAAGCAAAGGAAAACACCAACCCAGTCAGCTGTTTTATCCCTTGCTTTTTCCCCTTGTGTTGTACAATACCTTTTTCTGACCCAGGGATGGGACAGCTGAGAGGTGTTTTAAAACCTTTCATTCTATTTTCAGTCTCATGAGAAGGGTGAGACAATACAGATGTTTTAATTCATGCCACCACAATCAGAAATTACCATTTCCTAACTACAAACACTCTAAGTGTTCTTGGCCCATCAGCTTTTTGCACACCATGCTGTAGATGCCTTAAAGCCAATCATCTAAAACTACCCCTCATGGGTCCCACTGCAGTGCATCTTTCATGGCTCTGTTTCTCCAAAGTACCCAGTGTTATTTGTAAGTCCACCTTCTGAAAGTTGTTTCTAGCTCCATTTCTCTCTCAGCAGTACCTGTCCTACTCCATGGCATTTCTAAGTCAGCATTTCTGGTCTCAAGGTTTGCATAGGGATGTGAGCCTTCTGTCAGGCTTTGAGAGTTTTCTGCAAATCCATTTCCCACATTTGCCCCTCTCTCTTGGACAGAAAACACTTCCTTGATGGCCTTGTTCATCATTCACTGTGCACAGTGAAGTACACAAGGCACTACCGCTATTGATGCCACGAACAAACAATAATAAACCTATTTTGCAAACCTCCTTTAGCCAAGGTGCAAAGCTCCATCCTCCAAACAAGTCACCTAACCATGATCCATAGTTTATTTTAATTTGATTTGTTTCTGAAGCAGTTTGTGGATGGACACTGAATGGTGAGACAAGTTCATACAACACAGTCCTTCAAAATCTCTACAAACCCATTTCCCACACCAGCAGAGCACCTCTGAGTCAGCGTTCAAAGACACAAGGGCCTTGCTGCTGACCATGTGTGAGCAGGGACTTAGAGAAGTATTTTTACACACAGATTTTATTCTTCATTTCTGCCTCTTTATATTTTCACAGCAATGACTACAGAAAAAGAAGGCTTAACAAGGTCTGCAGAGGTGATTTCTAGAATGGAAGTCAAAAAGGAAGGCTTTCCATTTCACTGGATGGCTTGTGCCACACCTGCTTTGCTTTGTAATCATTAACTGGGGTAATTTTCTTCAATGCTTTTGTGATTTTCTTCCCTTTTATACCCAAATGTATCCAACTCCTTAACATAAACCCTGGAATATGATAGTTACAATCAGTATATGTTCAGTGACTTCTGATGGCACTTTTGTTTGTCAACTCAATGAATGAGAAACATTCAAAACTATTCACTAACTTAAAAATATTAACTCAGTGATCTGCAAAATCTTCAAATATTTTAATATCTGTATTGTAGATACAGCAACATCAACTATATATATGACATTCTGACTAAAGAGTATGCACATGATATTTTAGATAAAGTAAAAAAAATGGGAAGTTACAGATCCAATGCGCAAAAAAACCTGAATTTTTAACAAGATGCATGAAAACAAAGTTTGCTGCAGAAGGTTTTCATGTGTGTCCTTTGTGCAGCAAGATGATCACCGAAGGCCATTTTCCTGATTATAGGCAGGGTGAGGAGTCGATGCTTATTTTATCTCTCCAGCCACCAATGCCTATTTAAATCAGAAGTCAATTCACCATCAGCCTCTGTAAACATCACTCTTGTCAGGAGCTGCAGATGAGCTGCGGTTCAGCTCTTCCCAGCTCCCTGAAAACAAGCCATGCCCTCAGTCCCTGAGCCCGTCAGAGATCAACTCAACCCCTGCCCAGTCCTTCTGCACCCCTGGACTGGGCTCTGAGTGCCCAGGGAGGGACGGACCCCCCGTGCCCCCACCAGGGCACCCTGCTCCTCCCAGCTGGCACTCGGTGCTCAGAGATAAATTACAGAACCTGCCAAGGACACAGCCACCACCACAGCCAGTGTCGGGTCCAGCACACCCCTCTGGCTGCCCTGGCTGGCTCCAGACCCTGGCACGAAGTCAAAAACACCTGTGGCTTTGATTTTAGCCCATGGAGAAAACTGCCAACTCTCTATGAGGAATTACAAGCCACAAGGGTTTGAGTAGTGTGATATTTGAAGTAACACAGGGTAAAAAATAGAATTTTTTGGATTTTTAAGGTAAGGGGTTCAAGGGGGTACAAGATGGAGGAATTTGGGCATGCCCTGGCCTTCTTCTCCTTTGTCTTGTCCTCCATGTCTTGGTGTGATGGTGACACTTTTCTATTGGTGTAAGGCCAATATTCACAGTCTAACATAGGTGATGGGAATTCTATTGGTGTAAGGCCAATATTCACAGTCTAACATAGGTGATGGGAATTGGTGAAGAAATTGTAAACATAGACATGCAGTTTTGAATATATAAGGTGGGAGCCACCAAGGACTTGAGGCCAGACTGCCATGGCTTCTTACTTGGCGGACCTCGGCAGGTCATTGAGAAAAATTATCAATAAGGAGAAATAAACAACCTTGAAAGCACAATCAGAAGCATTCCAGGCTCCTTCTTTGGCTGCATTTGGGCTAAGGGAAGCAAAGACTCTCTACAATCTCTCTTGGGATCACACCCTGATCATCAGCACCCTGAGAGAGAAATCCACAAGCCAAGGGTCTGAAATCAGTGTGCCCACAACAGCTGAATAAAGGATGGGACCCTGCAACACACAGAGGCACACTGCACTGCAATAATGCAATAAATAATGGAATAATGCAATATTGTAATAAATAATGTCATAATGTATAATGTAACACGTGCATCCTAACCTACACCGTCTGTGCTGCTGTTACTGGAGGGACTGATTTATCTGTCACCCTGCTGGCAAAGTGAAAAAGGATCAACACTGCTGGGTTTAATTCCTCTATTTATCTGACAATTCGATGCATCAACTTAAAATTCGTGGCTTAACAAGTGCTGTAGGAAAAATATTTAAAAGAGACCTCTCAGTTTGACAGAAAGGTCTCTTAAGAAAAACATTTATGAAAATGCTAGAAGCTAAAAGGAAACAACACAAATAAAACTAATTTACAGAAGCGGACTCAAGATACCTAAAAAATAGTAAAATCTTTTAGTAAGAATGAGCTTGCTTTAAGCACAAGAGCTAACTGCACTTGGCTGAATAAAGCAGAAACCACTTCACTGCTGCTCTACACTTCACAATTAAACAGGCATAAAGTAAAGAAAGACTTACTGTAAAAAGACACCACCAAACTGAGTTTCCTTAAAGCTCAGCAAGTCCTCCTAAGGAAAGCAAGAAACTGCACAATTTTACCTTTATCCTGCCATGCCCATTCTCCTTTAATTGTAGAGGTGCACAGACCAAAATGATGCAGAATTTGGGAAGGTGTCTGCTCCTAAAATTTAGTATGAAGTTTTTACTTCTGAATGCTAAGCACAGATCAGTAAAGCATAAATGATTTAATTTTCTTTTCCCCATACAATTTATTCAAACTGCTCTTTTCTCTGCATGCCTCATAGTTTATTCAGCTGGGATGACCAGTCTGTCACTGCAGGGAAAAAATGCCAGCACTGCCCAGCAGGGCGAGGCAACCTGAATGCATTAGTCCTTTCAGATATCCAAGCACACTGTGTCACCTTCCCTTACCACCACGCTTGGCAGAAACTGCATTTCCTTCACTTGTCACCACTGGGTTACCTTTGTTAGCCAGCCTCTCCTAGCTCAGGGTGATGCCTTAACAAGACTGCCCTGAACAGAAGCTTGATGGAGTTACAGAATAAAGCAGGGATTTATTAAAGGATCTCCTCCATGGATCCACCTTGGGCAGCACCAGAGCCCAGCCAGGGCTGCACCCAAATGAAACCAAATGGTCCCAAAATGAACCCGAGATGAACCAAAATGGCCCCAA